AAAAATCACTATGAAACAGAAACAAAAGAAACACAAAAATCTACCCTAAATCTCTCTACCTATTCCAAATATAATAGATTAGCCATTTCAAAGGGGAAAACTATATTTATTTTCTAAGTATTTCACTGTGAAATATACAAGAGTCAAAGTTGCTTTATGCCAAAAGGTAAAGTAGATTAAAAATTTTAATTTATCATTATTAAACTTAAAAATCCCACAGTGATTTTAGACATAATAACATCGTTGTTATCATCATCACCATCGTCACTGCCGTGACCACAATTACTATTGACATTCCTTGATTGCTTTCGCTGTACGAGACTCTGTGAAACATGTTTTAGAAGTACCATTACATTTTGTCATCAGAAGTGCTCTGGATAAGTTATTACACTTATGCAGAAGGGTAAACTGAGGTTAGAGCAAGGACACGCTACTTGCTGAGTTCCCCACAGTTACTTATTTCAGAGTCAGAACTTCATCCAAAGTCTGTCTGATATGAAAATTAATGATTTTATCTAATGAAATAATCTGTTCTGTTTTCTGTATTATCTCTGGGCACTTCAGCATCATTTTAAAGAATAGCTTTTCATCTTCTGTGTTAAACAGCATGTCAAATGATCGATGAGGCTTAGTAATGAATTAATATTTAAAAGCAAACTGGACATCCTCTGTCCCTGGAAACAGCGTGATGAAAAGGTGAGATCCTAAATGGTAAGAGGCAGAGCTAGCCATTATTTTGGAGATCATCTAAGTAACAGATAGTGAAGAGTTGTTTTTTTTTTCTTTAGAGCAATTCAATTTTTATAAAGGTGAAGTGTTAGTTGTCTTTTGTTTGTGTGATGTGCAAGTTCCTAGATTATTAAGAGTATATGGCAGTAAAATTCATATAACTTGCTTTCATTTACACACTATTTTCAACTCCACAACGCACTCTCATTCTTCATTGCCTTTGACATGGATATATCTGGAGCTTATAAAGGTTTATATGGGTTAGAAGTAGACTTCCTCTTCTGTTTCATGATCCTAGTTGCTGTGCTATGTACTAAAGTCCCTATTCTGTTTTATACAAAATTTAAAACTATTTTTTCTGCATATGGCCTCTCTCTCATTGTCTTTGTTATTGTTTGTTTTGACCTTTATTAAAATATAATTCTCCCATTACCAGGTCTCCTAGGTAGAGAAGTTTTAAGCATATAGTTGTTTGTTATTTTTAACCAACCTACTCCAATGATTCATCAATATTATAGTTTATTTTCTTTCAATTTAACTTGATATGTGATAAAAGAGGAAAAAACAGGTCACACATTTACCTGTCTATTTTATTA